CAGACTCATGATGGACCTTCTGTTGGACTGTACTGGATACCTTTATCATTGGACACTAGTAGTGTCTATTCCAACGATCTAATACCAACAATTCACAGTGTACCGTAATGGCGACCCACCTAGTGGCATGGTGGCCATATTGTAAACTGGACTGACCGATAGAATTCAGTCTGCACCCAAAATAGGACTATACACATCACTCTAGCCACTGACTAGTGTTCAATCAAAGGACATTGACTGCTTAGTTGATTAAATTGGTTTTGTCTCTATATAATTGTGCACAACAATAATGGCCATCACCTGCAGCAACTCGTCCAGAAATACCCATTAACAGCACTCACAGAACTACCAGCGGACACTAATCCTTCAGCGAAAACAGAAGTATTATTAAATAAAGTTTAACTACTAAAAGCTGAGAAGACATCTGTGGCGGACGGAATTCATCCTGAAGCAATGAAAACGTATTCAGAGACAACAGCAAGCATATATGCTGACGCCATTATTGCAAAACGTTTGGAAGGAAGATTACTTTGTCAAACTACCAAAAACAAAAAAAACAGCGACACTGGTTTCTGCAAACAACTGGTGTGGTGAGAGCAAGCCGTGAGAAAATATAAGCAAGGCTGATTCAACAACCAATCACAGTAAAGTTAACGTGGCAAAATATGATTCGCAGATGGAGAACTCTATTTGTCGAGGAATCCCGAAACAACCAATCAGAAGCCTGCGTTTGTCTGCCTAACTTCTGATAAACAACCAATCAGATGACTGCGCTTGTGTATAATAATGTATGTGAAATATGTATAAATACGTGTTGATTTTCATAATAAAATGATCTGTTGCCTGGCCCTTGTCTTCTGTTGTTACACTGGTACAGAAACATGCTCTTGTCCACGCCAAACAAAATACTAAGTCGCATCATCTTGGATGCAATGGGTGCAGAGCTCTGTCCGCCGGAACAAGCTGGGTGTTCACGAAGTGCAAAGCATCTGTGGACTACATTGTAATTCTACACACCATCTTCAAATGGAGCAGTCAAGTCTATACATCAACTTAATCATCGATTTCGAAAATGCCTTCAATAGAGAGCGTTGACCTTGGAGTTATTTAGAAATAACTTTAATACTATACGGCACCTCAAATCTTTATCAACCACATGCATCAGTTTTATAACAATGCCACACATCAAGTAATCCATGACGGAAAACTCATGTAAGCCTTCCTGAAGGGAATACAGGAATAAAACAAGGCTGACTATAATCACCAACGATGGTATTCCTAATTGTGGTAGAGTGGATTTTGCGTCAGACTGTAGGAAGCGAGAAAACAGTGACTGATAAAAAGACTCTAAAAGAGATGTGGATTTATGTCCAATGTCACACAAACTCGAAGATTTAGAGGCGGAAACCATCAACCTGCTAGAACAAGGAGGCAGTGAAGACAGGACTTCAAGTAAACATTGAGAAGATTATTATTATTCTTGTTCCTTTGGGTTCGTAGTGGAACATAGGGCTTCAACTGCACGTCTCCACTTGCTCCTGTTGTACGTTTCACCTGCATCCATGTTAGTCCATACTCTTTCAACTCCTCTTCACACAATCTCCTCCTCCATGTCACCCTGGGACTGACGTCCCACTCGCCGCTTACTTCCCTTTCGGGTTCGACTCGACCGATGGCCTGATGCGCTTGCGATGTCACCCAGCGGCGGCCTCCTCCTCAGTGAGTGTCCAATCCATCTCAATCCACTTTCTCCTGCATATTTCTTGTTGTTGGGCTTGTTTTGTTCTTAGTTCTTGTCTTGTTTGTTTCTTCCCATAGTTTGGTGCTTTTTGGTGATTGTTTTCGGCTCACCGGCCATCTGATCTTCAACATAGATCCAGAGAAGACAGTTGTTGATTGATAAAGGTAACGTCTGCAACAGGCTGTTGGAAATATTCTTTGTGACCCACCCACCCGCCAACTTTCTGATTCGTTCCGTATAGAAGAGCTGACTGACTTGACGCTGTTTGTATTGAAAATCCAACTGACGGAATTTCGTTGTTGATGATGGCTGAGTGACGAAGATTTCCAGATTGGTTTCAGGTTGATGAATGAATGTGTTTCTCGCCCGCTTTCCCGATTCCCGCTCGATTCGACATCCTCGTCCGTTCCGACTTCCTTCCTGTAGTTGAGACAATGCTCCCTCCCTAGATGATAAGTGAATGAAGTAACTTCTTTCAAATCCCTCTCATTGATGGTGATTGGCGCTGGATGTTTCTTCTGCTGTTGTTGGTTGGTTGGTTGGTTGGTTATTTTCATCACTTCCGTCTTCTTCACCTATGTTCACCTGGAGTCCTGTCCTGTCTTCGCTGGCTGATTCTTTGACCAGTTAGTCGGTTTTTGCTTGCTTCTAAGTCTTCGATTTTGTGTGACATCAAACATAAATCAATCATCTACGCGCGAAATCCAGGTCTTCTTGGTTGTTCACGTCGGTCCAGGATATCCTTGTCCTCTCGTTTCCCACTGACTGTCTGACGCATAATCCAGTCCACTACAATTAGAGGTGATATAGCTGACCAAACTACACCAACTAAGCAACCAACCAACCGACAATAACAACAGGAACAAGTACCGATCACTATTAACACGAGAATTTTCGGAGAGAGGTGACTTCCACGACTTACTTATCTCAAGAGAGTCATTTCAACTGCAGGGAGATAAGAACGGATGCTCGTGAGTCAAAACTAGCCAGACTGCCAGCCAACCAGAATCAGAAAAGGCAACACAGGCCTTGATTCATCTGAAATCAGTTTGCAAATCGATTCAGCACTGAACCACTATTCAGCATAAAGAATAAAATTCGGATTCTCTTTAACACGAATATTGATTCAATTCTTACATATGCCTGAGAAAATTGGTGTGTTATTGACGAAGAAAAGCATTCCCAAATGGGCTACTGAAGACTTTTAACAACAACAGTTGGCCCTACTCACCGGCTTCCATGCTGAAGATCAATCAGATAGTCGGTTAGAAAGAATTAGGAAGGAAGGAAGGTGAAAATCTGTGTACGAATTAGTAATGACGAATCTGTTCCACGATGAATAAATATTCCGGTGAGAATGGAAATTGATGGGATACACGACGCTAAGGATGGAAGGAGATCGTCGAATGAATGAGATGACGTGCAATGGAGGCCATCGCTCGAGTGGGGCGTCAGTCGATAGGCAGGAGGAGATGAGAGACTATGAGAAGTAGTGAGAGTAGCAAGCTGAAGAGAATAGCAGCAAGTGGAAATGTGCTGTTGAAGCCCTCCCTGTCTCTGTTGCACTCGGAACTCAAGGGGATAATAATAATAATGAAATTGTCGTTTACCTCTAGAGGAATCTGTAGATGGTTTTTTTCTGGGTATGTACTGCTCAGTAATTCCTCTCTTGAACAAGTAGTGAGTGATGGGTGGCACTGTTATCGCCATTTAGACGATTGAGAATTATTTTTATAAAATAATACTGGAGTTAAAAGGTTTCTATATGTCGTCCAATAAAGATTGCCAAGCATTTTGAAAATTTAAATATTGTTGACTTATTCCCTCAAGGTAGTAAAAATCTAGTGTGGTGAGAGACAACTAATCTCCCTCAGAGGGGTGGGTGGGTTGGGTGGTCTGCTTTGCTCTTAAAGCCCTTTATTAATTTTCATCTCACGCTTATTTTTTTCTTCTCTAAACCATTTTCCAATGGTACTCTAACTTGTATCAGTTCACAATGAAATCCTCCAAACAATCAAAGAAAAATCCCTACAAACTAACACTTGGAAATTAATCTGATGCTCACTGACGACTGGCGCTATTCAGGGAGACGCGGTCGCCTGGGGTTCTATTAAGTGGGAAGTCGTGGCCAGTAAGTAGGGTACAGGTGTGTGTGAAGGTAAAGCAGTAACACATCAAAGAAGATATTGGCTAGTGTTGTCGCCCTATGTCGCTATGTGACACGACAGAAGTTAGAATTCATGGACTGGTTGGCTGGCTAGCTGGCCATTAGATCGGGTCAGAGTGAGTGGGGTTGGCTGCTTATTAATGGTCTACAAGCTAGCTTGCGTTGTAATCAGGAGGTTGTGAGTTCGACCCGACCTGAGTCGGGTGGGTACGTGGTGATAAAGAATTGCAAACTAGGCTGACGAAAGAGCTGTCCGGCAGTACTGCCAGGTGGTTCTTTCCAATGGTTCTTTAACCAACTGCTGTGAGTGCTCATGATGAAATACTCCATCGGTTGAAGCAAAATCCCTACAAATCAATACGTGATAATTTGGTAAAAATTCAAAATCCACTTAGCTGATCCATTTGTTCACCGAGTTGTTTTGAATCTGTCATGGGTAGATAGATAGGTGGATGTATAGAACGCGTAAACGATCTCTTATTTGAAGTAAAAAAAAAGTGTAAAATCTTTCTCTGGTTACAGGATTTCATCATGAGCTGACATTAGTTAGAGAACCATTGGAAAACCACCTGGGAGTACTGGATAGCTGTTTCATCCTAGTTTGGGACTCTTCATCAGTACGCACCCACCGCCAGGGTTCGAACCCAGGACCTTCTGGTTACAAGGCGAGCTGGCATGCCATTAAGTCACTGGGACCCGATCCAATGGCCCATGAATTCTAATCAAATCCCTACAAACCAACAGTTAAATATCTTTCATTCTCTGGTGTTAATGGCCTCAACTTTTCGAACAGATACACTTATCTGCATTGTAGAATAAACTCACCAAAATTCATCTAACCAGCAAATAGTAAACCCACTATAAGCGCATTCATCACCAACATATATATTCAGCAGGAGTAGTACTACAACGTTGGTGATGTCGATAAAGCTACTTTTGCTCTTGAAATGAGAAGACACAGAAATTGTTCATCTTTGTTGAGTATTTTTGTTGGACATTTTATTTTAAGACATCGTTGAAAGTGAAACTTCTTGTTGCTTTTAATTTGAATTACTGCGTTTTTTTTTTCTAAAAAAAAATTCTTTTTGATAGCTAAAAGCTGTTCCGAACTCGATTATCAAACAACAAGTGGACAGTACACTGGCAAAAGTTTATTTGCTTCATAAGAGGAAAAAGTATGCCAAAACGTTATCTGGGGGAATGAAAAGGCGACTGTCTATTGGTATGGCGTTAGTAGGTGATTCGAAAGTAAGTGTTGTTAGTATCCCTTTTTTTTGTTATCTTGTTAGATAACAAAACAAACAAAAAGATAATCTGAGAACATTAAGAGAATATTCCTTACTGAGCTAATTTCCTCTTTTTGGCTCTACAGTACATACATAAATACATATTTCTATTTATTTATTGTATACATAGAATACTGTAAAGCCTAACGAACATAGTCTCTAAAATCCTAAGCTCAGTAATCATGCATAGACTAAGCAGAACTCGGAAGGAACAGACGAGGGAAAATCAAGCAGGCTTTAGACCAGGTAGAGGGTGCATAGATCATATCTTCACTCTTCGACAGATTCTAGAACATAGACACACTTTTTGGCGTCCAACAATTGCCATATTTCTTGACTTGAAGGCGGCCTTCGACTCTGTGGATCGAAAGATACTATGTCAATGTTTGACTGTGCAGGGAGTGCCAAGAAAGTACATTGCACTAATCAAGGGACTCTATTCAAACTCACGTAGTCGTGTAAGGGCTTATGGGGAATTGTCATCTGAATTGGTAACAACCAGTGGTGTCCGACAGGGATGTCCACTTTCCCCATTCCTGTTTAACTTCATCATAAATATGCTAATGGAAGTATCCTTAACTGAACGTAACGACTTAGGAATCGACTTGTTACCAGGGAATAGTCTTATGGACTTAGAATATGCAGATGACATAGTCCTGTTAGGGGAGGATGCTGACAAAATGCAGAGTCTTCTGAACACCTTGAGCAGCAATCTTCGTATGTTTGGCATGCGATTCGCCCCTACAAAATATAAGATACTGCTACAGGACTGGACTACGTCAACTCCTAGCTTAGTGATAGGGAGTGAAGTGATAGAACATGTTGACCACTTCACCTATTTGGGAAGTTGTATCAGTACCAACGAACTGATTGGCGACGAAATCTCAGCACGGATCCAAAAAGCTCGAGCTGCTTTCGCTGACTTAAGCCACCTCTGGCGTAGGCGTGACATCCGGTTATCAACCAAGGGACGTGTGTACTGTTCAGCACTTCGCTCCGTCCTTCTCTATGGCTCTGAAACATGGCCAATACGAGTTGAAGACATGAAAAGGTTGACTGCTTTCGATCATAGATGTCTGCGATCTCTTTCTCACGTTAGGTGGTATAATAAAGTAAGTAATGTTGACGTTAGGCGTAGAGTGTTGGGCAAACAGGGAAAATCAATCGACGAGGCTATAAAGTTACATAGATTGAGATGGCTAGGTCACGTGCTGCGCATGCCTAACCATCGCCTCCCCCGAGACGGGCATTACTAGCTGATATAGGTGCAGGTTGGAAAAGAGTAAGTGGTGGCCAAACAAAAACATGGCCTCATCAATCCATGAAATCCTTGACAGTTAAACTGAGTCAGCAGGCAGGGAGATGCAGACTTCTGGGTTGGGGCCCTCGGGACTGACTCTAGGAATCAATGGCTGGAGACAATAGGTGACATGGCTCAAAATCGTTGTCAATGGCCAGCGGAGATGTATTCAGTCTCTGTAATCTTTCATATTCCTTTCTACCATTACCCATTCTGTTTCGCTCGTATAGCTGTCAAACTCTATTGATTCTCTTCACTCATCTTCTTGTCTACCTCTGTGGGCTATTTGGAACGTGGGAACTCGAACTGGTGCACTTCGGTGCCGAGTTCTATGTTGAATCCAGACAGACAGAATACTCTAAAACAATCGTCACTAAAACAATATTGACTGACTGGTTTCAATGTAGAACTTTGCACCGATGTACAACAGCACTTCGAGTTGCCACACTTCACTTGATGGTGCACAAAGCAAGAAAGAAGAAAGGAAAAAGAAATGCAAACAGAGATATGAGGCATACAGAGTAGTAATATGCAAGAACAATATAGTTTTATTGGTTATTACAAGTCACAAGAAGTGGATGCATCTGCTCCAGCCAGCCATTACCGAGAACGATCAGTTTGAGCCAGTTATATCACCAATTGTATACAGCCACCATTGGTTTTCACCATCCAGAGGACTACAAACAGTGAGGAGGTCTACACCTCCCTTCGTGACTGGCGGCTGGCATAAACTAACTGTTGTGGATTTCATTGGTTGATGATGAAGCCATGTTTTGGTTTGACCAACCTTATCCCATCTCAGCTAACATCCCCCATTGTCGAGAGAGGCAATGGTTATAAATGAATGTGTAACGCATGTCTTAACTATCTCAGTACATGTAACTTCGCAGCCTTGTGTGTTGATTTACCCTCTTTACCTGGCACTCGACTGATGCCTCACCTCAACACTGTTCACCCTATTATACCACTTCACACAGGAGACAGAGAGGGCAGGCATCTATGATAAAAGACAGCTGGCTAGCCAGTCTTTTCATGTCTTGTTCTTTCAATGGCCAGGTCTCACAGCCAGCCGGCTATAAAGGAGAACGGGACAGTGGGCATCCCTGACGGACTTCACTAGTTACCACCATTTCAAATGACAACTCTGCCTAAGCTCTCATCTGGCTGCATGAGTTCGACTAGAAGAGTGTGGCTTGATCGGAACAATGTATTTTCCGCAACCTTCTCTTCACAAACAAGCCAAGAAACTATATTAGTGTTTTCATTTGAATACTGTCGATTTTTGAGAACACAATGGATTAACAGATTGTTCAGGAAAGATGCATACGTTATAATAATAATAATAATGCGGTAGAGTATAACGCCATTATAGATAAGATTTTATTTTGATAAAGCGTCATATAGTGTTGTACAGTAATATTAACTGATGACCGCACGCTTCAAGCACAAATTATTGCTACTCATAATCTTATCGGTGTGAAGACTCGATGAACCAAGCAGGATTCAGTCAGTAATCAATCTCTCTCTCTCTCTCTGTCTCCACCTACCTATGTTACTCTTTAAAATTTTGAACCTGTCCCACTCACCCCATTGTGTGTGTGTGTGATTGTGTGTTAATGCATGTAGTGCAATGCAGTGCTGAGCTGTCCTCTGAATTACTTATGTTTGTGGGTGGAATCAATCATTCTAACCTCAGCTAAATTCTCATGTTCTGACAGGCAGTCTCAATAGTTTTGTCTGATCTACTAATTTGACTCACCTATGCAGGTAGTCGACCCCTCCACTCATAGTCATTGCAAGGTATTTTGTAAATTATATTGTGGTGAGAGCATGCTGCTAGCCAATTCGTAGACATTAATTTACGTCAATGTCTAGGTCACTAATATTGGCCGTGAGAAAATATGAAAAAGGCTGATTCAACAACCAGTCACAGCAGAATTTACGTGGGCAAATAAGATTCACAGATATATGGCTTAACTTTCCAAGAAATCAGAAACAACCAATCAGAAGACTGTGTTTGTCTGCTTGAATAAGCTATAATAATGTACATAAAATATATATAAATACGTGCTGATTTCCGTAATAAAAGGATCTGTTGCCTGGCCCTTGTCTTCTGTTGTTACAATATTATTTTGTTCACTTGGGTCAACAACCTAAAGGGTCCTTTAACCTACCTACAGAGCTTGTCCTATCTGAGTGAGTGAGTGAGTTTTTAGGTTTAAAAGCCACCACAGTAATTCCTTATTCATTGAGAATTCTACGTAGGGATCGTCTCAGATGTGTCTCCTCCCTCCTTATATCGGTTCGACTATTACCTTTATTTTGCTTCTGACCTTTTCTGATCTTCCTAATGAATTTTGTATGATAGTTAGTTATTTAACACGGACCAACCATTCTTCTTCTATCCGTTTCACTTCATCATTTAGGTCTTTTTGTTGTACTGCTCCGTAATGTTGTTCCTCGGTTGTTGTTAGACACTTGAGTAAGTCTGCTTTCGTAGACAGATAACGAACGGTTGAGAGAAATTAAAGTCTCAACATCTATTAGCAGAATGCGTTCGTTTTTTTATATTGAAAAGAACAAGAAGTTCAGCAAAGATAGCGACTTTTTCGGCGATGTCATTCATAAAAGCAGCTGTACAATCGCATTTATATAATATAGATTAGTTTACATGGATACAATTATTATTTGTTTGATCAATTCCACATAGTAACGAAGGTGATAATAATTTTCAACTTGATATGAAACTTTGAAGGTACGAATATAGATTATAGATTACAAGGAGCTTAGAGACAAGATTTCATAGGATTAGAAAACAGTTACAACGTATGGAAAATTAATATTTGATAACTGGAGAAATAATAGTCTTAAAGGCGAATCAAAGGTGACCATTATTTTCAACTTGATATGAATTAGAAGAGGCTGAGAGACAAAAATTACGCAGGGATAGAAGGAATTACAGGTGTGAACAAAATGAGCATGAAAACAAATTGAAGTCAAAATTCTTTTGTCAACTTAAAATGTTAGTTAAGAGGTATGAATATAGATTACAAGAGGCATAGAAACAAAAAATCACACAGGATTAGAATCTAATTGTAAATTGGTTACTGTAAACGGATTACAAGTGTGACCAGGAGGATCATGGAAACAAATTAGAAATAACTGATTTTAAGATGAATTGAATGAAGTCGAAGAGAGAAAATTACACACTCAGAGAACAAAACAAGAAAAAGTGCAAGATAAGGGAACATACCGAACTAGATCCATGGTAGTTGTATAGGCTGGACTAGTTCTTTTGAACACATAGCTCCGGCTTTTCGATGCATATGGTACAGTGCAAAGAAGTTGGGAACACACTGCCTTTGGTAGATTTTTTGTTTACCTTGTAAATGACTCTAAATGAGAATGAAATCGCCGAAAAGATATATATGCTTAACTTCTTGTTTTTTTATCAACACTGGTGTGCAGTTCACCTTCTTCTCTTCGTTTTATTGTACACTCTAACATCACAGGTAATTCTCCTTGTTCATTTTCTGACTGAAATGTGAATCTTATTCCCTTTACTAGTGAGTTAATGTGTGTGTGTGTGTGTGTGTGTGTGTGTGAAAAAGCTAGAGAGATATTTGAACAAAGCAAGAACTACAGTTTTAGCAGAATAAAATGGTACCATCTTTTATTTCGTTGCATTCTCGTCAGCTGCTTACTTGGCAAAGACATTATTAAATATATCTACAACAACAATTTTAACATACTTGCACAGAGTTAAGTTTAAACAAAAAAAATCAGTCGATCAATATACTCATACACTAAAAATATATACATATATAAATATATATGTTGTTCTGTTTTCAACACTGTGTGTGAAAGTGTCACCCACATATCTCCACGACCATATAATATTTGGAGTAGGATTAAGTAAGTGTATTCAGAGCAGAACTATTCGGATTTTATTGACCAACATCACCAAAATATAATAAGTCAAAAATTACATAAATTGAAGACAATTCGTTTTTGAAGGTCACCTGTCGATAGGCATGTTTATCACATGAGAATTGACGTCTTTTCCATATTACAAATAACAGACATATACAGATAAATATGCACAACGCAATTTGACATTAGTCATTGCAAATTGTGTGATGATGTTTCTTTACGCATATTTCTATTGGTACAAATTTGAATAAGGCATTTAGAAGATAAATTTCGCGAGATGATACCTTCATTTCGTAGTTTCTTTACAACCGCTTTACATCTAACATGGTTAACAATAATAAAATAAAGATCATAACAATTATAATAAAGGTTAGAACAAGACATATAAGCGAACAATATTGTTTTCAATTAGATCTTCTTCAGGCTTTACTCTAATTTACATAGATTTATGCACCTTCAATAACCAACCTTGAAGTAGAGTTATGTGATGAAATAATTGTGAAACAGTCATTAATATTGATTGATTTTGTGACCTGACATTAATAAGTGTTTCGCAATGGATGATGATGATGCTGGATTTCTACTTAAATTAATCGCATTGGGATTTTCTATATGATTAAGTAGCCATTTTGGAACATGTTCTTTTCGACCACGACATTGGAACATTCTATTGGTTCTACCTATATAGGTGTCACTGCAGCTGCAGGTGAACTTGTAGATACAGTTTGAAGTAGAATCCATAGAATTTTGTCCTTCAATTGTATGTACAGGGATAGAAAATGTTCTGGATGTGAGGGAAAGAGGTTCGGCGTAGAATGTGCGTTTGATAGCTGACCGAAGTCTTTGAGCTGTCAACTGCATAATCTGGTCGCCCTTGAATGGTAGGTTAATGAAGATAGCTTTCTTTGATACAGAAGCTGTCTTTTCGAGATGTGGTCTTTCTTTACTGTGACAATTGATAAAGTTTTCTGCATAACAATTAGCTAATAATAGTGAATGTCGAAACTCATCCATTAATGTGTCACTCGTGCATATTTCTCGGGCCCTTGAGAACAAACATTTTACTAGGTAACGTTTATACTGAATAGGAACAAAACTGATAAAATGAAAATATTGTCCACTCCATATCTGTTTGCGGAAAACAGATCGCTGAATCATTCCATCATCTCTCCTAGTCATAGTAATATCCAGGATACCGAGTTTGTTATTCGATTCGAGTTTGGAAGTCACCCGGATATTTGGATGAATATGATTAAATAGGGCAATGAAGTTTTCAATATATTTGCTGCTAATATCAATAATGAGAGTATCATCTACATAACGTTTATTCAGCATAAATTCTCCAAGCATACCTTGCGTTGGTACAAATGTCTATCGACAAGTGACGATCGAATCAAATGACTTCAATTTATGTAATTTTTGACTACATATACATTGATTTTGCTCATTAATAAAATTCCGAGTAATTCTACGGTGGTTGTGGCGTTGGTGTGTATTGGCTTACACAGCAAAGCGTTCAGAAAACAGAACTTGTTTTCATTTCATTTTTTTTATTCTTAAACACACTGGGATTATTTTAAATGATTTATAATGAGTCATATAGTTACTTAATGATATTATTATTATTCAGGTACTCATATTGGATGAACCGACTTCAGGACTAGATCCTGAAGCGCGTCGACAAGTATGGGATATACTTCAGGCAGAGCGACCGTATCGTGCAATTCTCGTCACTACACATTACATGGATGAAGCGGATCATTTAGGTGATCGTATTGCAATTATGGCGGGTGGTGAACTCAAGTGTTTCGGTTCTCCTTTATTCTTGAAAGCAAAGTATGGTATGTTTTCAATCAATCAGTGTTAGCTAGTTGAGATATTACACATTTTCCCTTTTTTGTTGGCTGTGTGTATGTGTGTGTGTGTGCGTTGCTGAGGCGCCTCATCGTTGAAAATCTACAACTTTGATCGGCGCTCATCGTGATCCTACCTATGTCAGCTAACATTGTCCACTGTCGAGGAAGGCGCGATCGATGACCAGGCATGCATGTATAACAGACGTCCATCGTGTCGATTGATTTCCCCTCCTTCTTACCTAGCAATCGGTTCTTGAAAGTTCGACTTTCAAAGGACCTTGACTTTAGCTATGAAAATTCAAATTCACCAATAATAATAATTAATTAATTAAACAGCTTACAAACAGTAGCATTATAAAACCAGCAGCAAAGTAGGATGACCATGACATTTGAGCAGAGACAAGACGATAATGCTGTCCATTCATTACATTCACCACATAACCTTTTAGACCTTCAGTAGCCGATAGATATTTTATACTTCCAATTAAAAGATCTTCATAGCCCAAAAATTCATCCATAAGAAATCGACTGACAACACCACCGAAACAAGGATTACTTTGAGGATCTATCAAAGGAGAAGGAGACGAGAAAAGAAAAAAGAAGAGAAAAGGTATGCTCAATTACTGTCAAATAAATACTCCTCTATCTACGTGACAAGTGTTTAGAAAAGAATAAAAAGGACACAGTTTTTCCACTGAGGGGCTTTGAATTCTATATTAATTTTCGCAAGTTGGCTGTACAGTAGTCATATTTATATTTACCAAAAATGTATAGTGCACTCAGCATCTAAAATCAGATCCGGATTGTCAACTCCAATGTGAAGTCAGTGCTACTAAACGGACCAGAGACTTGGCCAGCGCGTCATAAAAGGCACTTCAAACAAACTACAGACCTTCATTAACAGCTGCCTTTGCTCAATACCACTCAAGATCACATGGCCTACCAGAAAAGATCACCAACAGGGTTGAATATCTGGCAATGAGCGAATCAACACAGCATGAACCGATTGTGCAACAAATAATCAGGAAGAAATGGAGGTGGATTGGCTGGCCATACTCTGAGGAAACCATCAAGTGAGTGACATCACTAGACAAGCCATCGCTCGAGTGGAACCTGAAAGGGAAGCGGGCGGCGAGTTGGTCGTCAGTGCAATGGTGGGGTGACTTGGAGGAGGTCATGTGAAGGGGAGGAGACGAAAGAGTGTGGACAGACTTTGAACCAGGTGAAAACTTTAGCAGAGTACCGAACGCAATGGAGACCTATGTTCCTCTGGGAATTAAAGGCCATAATAATAATAAAAATGCAGTTGAAACGATGCTTTCTAGGTTGGTAGGTAGGTAAAGGAGATTGCTTCTCTTAGATCTCTCCCATTTATGCTGATTGTTGTTGCTGTTGGCCAGGAATTTTCATCACATCTGTGTTTTCTATGTTTACCCGTAAGTTCAATCTTTGATACACGAGTTTACAAATTGTAAAAGTAGAGGTTGAGTGATTCAAGATTCTTTTAGTTTCTTAATGTAGATTAGTAGATTAGACGGAACATTTTCTTGCAGATCGACAAAATATGAGATGAAGAACTAAGTAACGTCAGAGGATAAAACTATACCAAGGTATTTTGTCTTAGACCTACTGTCTATTACAGCCGCCTCTCTATGCTACAACCATTGCCTGTACTAACCAGCGCAGTAGTTGTAGATCACGTTTATGTCTGAAGCAAGAAGTCAATAGTCTGACAGTGGGAGGCATTCAGCGTAAAACCATTTATCTTAGAAACACTGTTTGATATCTGACAAAAAGCTTCCATTAAACAACAACTACTCATCTTGGTCGACTATCTTTCAAGAAGAGAAATGTATACAGCCTAAGATGTTGCTAAGTATATCAGCACTTATCGATGGATTGTGGCATCCAGACGTCACGACAAACTCTATAAAGCAGCTTATATGACTATTGGTAGACAAGTGGTTTTGAGAGCACTGAGGTCTGCACAAACAGACTAAGGACTTCAATTACTGCGATTAATTATAATCCTGACGAAATAAACCAATTTAGATCCTTTATAATTTTAAAATTTCAAAAAATACCCCACCCCGTTACTGTCCGCGTAATAATTATTCTTTCCCTGCTCAAACATAGGCGCTTCTTGTTTCCCTTCACATACTTGTGTACTATTTCGTACTGTCGCAGATCAAACTTGTTCGTTTCTATGGGAAGTTTTAGGCTTATGACTAATTCTGTCTAGCCCTATATATACTCGGCTCCCATTTTGTTTGATAATTTACCGAAAATAGTCATTGAGTCATGACGAGGAAAAGCGAAAGACAATTCGTCAGTAAAGAAAAGATTTTCTTCATCGACAAAATCATCTTCACAGGCTGGCTATACAGTGGTCGTATTGATATTTGCCGAAAATGTATACTGGTCCATTTTTCGGTAATAGGAGGTGTGTATATGTATGTGTGTGTGTGATATAACTGACATAATTACTCAGAATTGGTTTCAGAAGTAAAAATAAAAGTTGTAAATTACGTAATATTCAACAACGACACGACAAAGGAAGATAGCGTCGGAAATCTGATAAGGTTAAAATTTTTATTGAGTAGTGAGTGCGGAGGAAGGTGGTAGTTGAGTATCCGTTTATCAAATGTACAGAGAGTGTGGAAATGTACAAAAGGAACATATGAGAGACTGAGAATAGTGAATTAGTTATCAAGGTAAATTAAACTAAAAGCAAAATAAAGAATTTACGCGGGACGATTAGTGAAGAGTTTAGGACCTTGGTATACAGAGCTCGACATTGTATTGACGAATTACCAACGCATCCGTTGTCACACACAAATGCTGAAACCTGACATCCTTTGCACCGTTTCGCCTCACTTTCAACGACGACTGTGGTGGAACTGTGTCGCTGGAGTTTATTAAGTCCTCGAGAATTCAGCTAGTAACTAGCTGTCTTGCATTATCCTTTTGCTAACCATGGCAGATAATGTTCAGAGAGAGATGCATCTGAAAAGTGTGCGGCCATCATAACTAGCTCCACGGAATAAGTTAATTTCTAAACACACACTGAAGTGGCCCGTCGAAAGCGGTAGTTTATCTTTCACACATCCATTGATCCTTTCTCGGCTGTATAAATTGATCCGTAGCCCAGCCTCAACAAAGAACTTTCTCGGTAATCGGGATAAGCACCGATTCTTCAGGATCCCAGGTGCGGTATCACGTTTGAATTCAACTTTCATAAATAGCAGTTTGTTCGGCATCGTCTGAGTTTTTTCAGGTTTTTGCTTAACTCTTTCATGTTTTCCTCGATGATTCTTGGAGAATATCCATTTTCTATAAGGACTTGTCTGAGTCGGTCAATTGTTTTCCTTATTTGTGTGTGTGTGTTGCTGAAAATGACCACTTACTGGGAGTAAGTGACAATTTAAAGACTCAGGGGAAAGGGTTAAATATAGTCGGATTTTTTTAATTTCATACCACAATGGGTAAGGTAATAATAATAATTTGCTTTATTCCAAAACGGTACCTGTGATACAGAATGGAATTCTCAGTATTTCCCTACAGTATTCCATCCAGTCGGTACATTTACAATAAATAAATGAAATTCTACATAGATTAAGGGTAATCTCAGTTCGTTTTGACAACAACATATTGGCATATCGGTCGGTAGCAAAGCCGAAATTGAACAGAGTGTTTGAAGGTGTTAGATAAGTAGATGCTAGCATATTTGCTGGCGCAAGCGGTAACAAAAAGGTCGAGATATACAGAGTGTGAAAGAACGAAGAAGAAGGTTTTAAATAGAGTTTGTAAGGAAGAAAGAAACAAAGCAGTGCATAACAGAAAAAAGAGAGACAGAAAAGGAAAGGAAAGGAAGAAAAACGTTGTACCTATAAATGATATGAGTTGAAAAGACGAGATCCAGTTGTTCTACTGACTATTTAATAAGTTATAGGTATCACGCCTAATGCTTTCTTCTTTATCGCACAGAACACGAGCTAAGTAGGGTATAGTTGAGTTTTTGTACTTGGTAGTGCGAGCATATAGTTTTCTATATAGGCTTCTGGCTTTGCCTGACGAGATACAAGGGGAGAGTTGTGAATGAAGAGGGTGGTGTGAGTTATGCAAAATAGAATTGATTTAGTCCATTTTTCCCATGAGTCCATGTGCCTGTCAACCAGAATATTAACAAGCTGGTTGGTTAAGTGGCACGTTGCTTACCCTGCTGACAACCGTTAACATCCTGCGTAATAAGGTATAGTCTTTCTTCAGTAGCCAGTCCTGGAAACACTAAGGGGGAACAATAGAGAATAATAGGCAGGCAGGATGCAAGAGTTAACGAATCGTAGGAGTAAGGGTTGGGATGAGTTATACCAGAATGTCTTAACTTCTTGATGTAGAAGGTAAGACGGAATATTCTCCTAGAAATCATCAAGATATGAGACGACGAGGAAAGGTCAGCAGATAGAATGACGTCTAGATACTTAATCTATGTCGCACACCTTGTGAGTGCTAACCACCAGTTTGTTTAGGTCAGATTTATGCCTAAAGGTGAAACTGACTGTTTGGCATTTGAAGGGGCTTAAGGTGGTAAGACCGTTTTCGTTGGACCACTACTGGCTGATTTCTGATAAAAAGCCATTTAGTTTGGAGCAGTTGCTTTGACATTTGACAGGCAAAGATACAGTCAGGACGTCAGCATATTTAACAAAGTTAATGTCATTTGAAGATGATAAGTCATGTAGAAAGAAAGAAAAGAGGAGTGGGGAGAGTACAGCATCTTGGGGGACAACAGCTTCAGTGAGCACAGCAGAGGAGGATTTACCTTTGTATACAGTGTACTGCATTCTGTTAGAGAAGTAGGAATGCAACCAGTTAGTGACCCAGTACTCAGTTTGTGTCATGGAGAGCTTATTTAGCAAGAGATATGTAGGTACAGAGTCGAAAGCAGAAGTGAAGTCTAGGGACGTGCAGCGAGCGTATTTGGCACCTTTATCTAATGATGAAACGATACTGTTGTGTAAGACGGCTGCAGCGTCTAACGTGCTCCTACCCTGTCTATAGGTGTAAAACTTACAAAAAAAGAGTGTACTGACCTGTTGTTATTGCACTTATGCAACTGTGTGGCATGTATAGCGCGATCACCAATCAATATCATCCATGAGCATTTATCTTTTCACACCCAACTTGGTGTGGTCTCGACTTCCCTGCAAATATATTATAACTCATGTCAGCTCACGGTGAAATCCTCCAAACAATCAAGGAAAAATCCCTACAAAACTAACACTTGGAAATTAATCTGATGCTCACTGACGACTGACCCTATTCTGGTAGACGCGGTTTCCCGGTGTTCTAGTGGAAAGGTGTGACCAGTAGGGTACAGCTGTTTGTGAAGGTAAAGCAGTAACACATCAAAGAAGATATTGGCTAGTGTTGTGGCGCTATGTCGCTATGTGACACGACAGAAGTTAGAATTCACGGACTGGTTGGCTGGCTAGCTGGCCATTAGATCGGGTCAGAGTGAGTGGGGTTGGCTGCTTATTAATGGTCTACGAGCTAGCTTGCGTTGTAATCAGGAGGTTGTGAGTTCGACCCGACCTGAGTCGGGTGGGTACGTGGTGATAAAGAATAGCAAACTAGGCTGACGAAAGAGCTGTCCGGCAGTACTCCCAGGTGGTTTTTTCCAATGGTTCTTTAACCAACTGATGTGAGTGCTCATTGTAAAATCCTTCAATCTATTCATGATAAATTATTCATGCAGGTGGGGATGTGACTTACTGGCTTTAATACTTAATTTCAGATCAATACATCTTCGTTTCGAGTTTCTCCCCCTCTCTGTAAATAGATACGGATTTTTCTCCTTTACTTTCCCAGTGGAACATAGGGCTTCAAGATAGAGGCTTGAAGTTCAGTGGCACTGGTATCTATTTTCACAGAATAGGATTGCTAACCTTTTGCTTGCTCAACCTTCCCTCCTTTCCTGTCTTATTACTGGCTAAGTGAGGTAAAGAAGTGCACCGGCTGGGGATCAAACTCCGTACCATCTGCGCGTGTTTGGCGAGCATTCTACCTGTGTGCCACCGACGCACTGACTGTGTGTTATCAGTATTTACGTAATAAGTGTGACTCCTTGCCTTGTGTATGATGAGTCTATTCCAGTTGACTGAGTTTTAGGTTATTATTTACTCAAAATTATTTTGATGTAGTCGTGTTTTCTAAGCTAGCTAGCGAAGATTTTATCATCATTGCCCTCCTACTAAGCAACATCTCCAGCTCACATACTTCAACTTGAATTGAAGTGAGCTTTCTAGATTTCTCCACGAGTTTACTAGTCATCTCCCTTGGTTGGTGGATGGCCTTGAATTTCGTAATTGTTTGTTTTTGTCCCAAGCGAATGGGACAACGTTAAAGTTATAGACAGAGGAAACAATACCAAGAGTGTTGGAGAATTTGTAGAAGGCTGCCTGGCACTTCAGGGAATCGTCAGTCAACAGATACATCGACATAGACGAAATTCGGGTTATTCGATAAGGAGGAAAGCTCATACACGCAACGTCGAACTACAGGGCAAGGAAACAATCAACACTAATACCAATAGAAATAGTAGCCTAGAGGGTATGAAATCACACAAAAACAACCAATCACGAAGTTTAAGGCCACCCACCCATCAGGAGAGATGACTAATAAACTCGTGTAGGAATCCAAAAGCTAGCTCACTTCAAATCATATTGAAGGAAGTGAAGTGTGTACTGAAGATGTTGTCTAGTCGGGGTTAGGGGGTGGGGGGGACAATAGTGAAATCTTCGCAAATATAAACCATCCATCCAGCTGGCTAGCTCAGTGAACACAACTACATTTAGATCATCCACCCGAGCTACAAATCTTCTCCATTACTCAATATTATTTTCACTATCACTTCCAAATTCTGATCGTTAGTCTTTGACAGCTGTCATAATGTAGCAGCAGAAGGCAACATACGAAAGTCAAGGTATATTTTCAAGTGATCATACAGCTACTGAAATCTATACAGTTGATATTAATTAACCAATCACTGAGCGTGTAATTTTAGGTCACATTAAACGGCATGAAATAGCATGTATAAATATGTATATATAGTATTCTGTGGCTAATGCAATATTGAACTGTGAAAAAAGTGCTCAGGCGTTAACACCAGTACAGTTACAATGATTCTTACTGTGATAATAATAATAATATTCTATTGGAGCACATTGTTGTCTGTATCACACCACTACACTCCTCCCCACGTACGCATCAAATACTCTCGACTGAAGTCTGTTCGATCCTCTTGGTGCTGGTCACTTTGTTAGTTTGTCGTGCTGTATTCATTTCCGGGGCTTGCTGACGTTCACTCACTTCTCTTTGTTTACATTTCTGATGATATATACGTAACCCCTTCTCTCGTGGTGACCGTGTATACGGATGCTTCCGAGTTTGGAAGCGGTTTGCGTGACTTTGGCTGGCACATAGTCGCCGGTGTGTCGCCTCACACTATCATCATCATCATCATCATATGCTGTCTTCACCCTATCTCCGAGAAGCAGCGTTCCAAGTAGAATCCTCTTCGCCGACTGGTGTGAAACTCCATTGAACTCTGCAACAGCCTCGAACACCTGCCAACTGATCCATATGTCTCCGCCTTTCAAAACTGCAGGTCATGGCTTTCCATAGGTTGGCAGGCAGTGACATCGAGTGTGTAACAGCAGAAGGCAGAGACACGGAAGGAAGCCAAGTTACTGGACTGTATGTATTCCGTTGCTCTAATACACTATTGAACACTATGAGAATATATTAGTATATGTTAGAATAATATTCCATCGGAACACATACACACACACACACATTGTTGTCTGTGTATCACACACCACCACAGTGTTATATTCGCATTTCTGTATATTATTTTAATTACTACTCCTCTAGGTGCTGGTTATTTACTCTCAGTGATAAAGCAGTCCAGCTGTTCTCCGGATCATGTCCTGAAACAAGTGAAACAATACATTCCAAATGCTGTAGTCCGTAGTGATTATGGCGAAGAAATACGCCTGTTATTGCCATTGGAGTCAATTGATCAATTTGCAAAATTATTTCAACATCTTGAAGTGAATAGGGCAAATCTAGGCATTTTAAATTTCGGCGTATCTGTTACAACAATGGGAGAGGTATTCCATCGGTAAGTGATTGTAACTAAGATTTTTTTTTTAAATCTAACTGTTTTATTGGTTTTCGCTAGAATGTTTGATTTTCGCCCGTTGATTCATTGGACTGAAATATTATTCGGCCTCTTCACTGACATATATATATATATATATATATATATATATATATATATATATGGGCTCCCCAGTACACCGATGCTCCGCTATGACATTTGAGGATTTAACTTGAAGTGATTCTGGGGTAGATAGTAGCTGATTAGCCGCGGAATGCGCAGGATATGCGCCTGTATTTCCCAGTAAGTGTATATGGGTGAGGGAGTGACAACATAGAGTAGTCCTCTGAACATCTTGAGCAGCAGCTTTCGAATGTAATTTGGTGAGGCTAGAGGACTGGACTATCAGAACAAGCTGGATTGAGGAAAGGCAAATCATGTTCTGACCAAATTGCAACTCCACGCATCATCATCATCACAGAACAAAGCATGGAATGGCAATCAAACCTCTACCTCAAATTTATAAACTTTGAAAAGGCCTTCGACAGCCAGCGTTGACCGCGAAGCAATTTGGAAACTACTCGAGTACTATGGTGTGCAGCGCCCAAATATTCATCAACCTTATTCAACAGCTGTACGACAGCGGCACGTGTCAAGTGACCCACAACGGAAAACTCAGCGGGGCGTTCCTAGTAAACACAGGAGTTAGACAAGGGTGCTCGCTTATTATCACCAATGAATGATATTCCTAATTGTAGTGAACTGACTGGATTATGCGTCAGACAGTCAGTGGGAAACGAGAAGACAGGGATACCCTGGACCGACGTGAAGAACCTAGAAGACCTGGATTTCGCGCGTAGATGATTGATTTATGTTTGATGTCACACAGAATCAAAGACTTAGAAGCAAGCGAAAACCGACTAACTGGTCGAAGAATCAGCCAGCGAAGACAGGACAGGACTCCAGGTGAACATAGATGAACAAGACGGAGGTTATGAAAATAACCAACCAACCAACCAACAACAACAACAACAGCAGAAGAAACATCCAGCGCCAATCACCATCAATGGGAGGGATTTGAAAGAAGTTACTTCATTCACTTATCATCTAGGGAGGGAGCATTGTCTCAACTACAGGAAGGAAGTCGGAACGGACGAGGATGTCGAATCGGGCAGGAATCGGGAAAGCGGGCGAGAAACACATTCATTCATCAACCTGAAACCAATCTGGAAATCTTCGTCACTCAGCCATCATCAACAACGAAATTCCGTCAGTTGGATTTTCAATACAAACAGCGTCAAGTCAGTCAGTTCTTCTATACGGTTCAGTGGGACCCGAAAAGGAAGCGGTGAGTGGGACGTCCAAGGGCAATATGGAGGAGATCGTGTGAAATGGAGTTGAAACAGTATGGACTAACATGAATGCAGATGAAAAGTACAGCAGAGAGAAGACAGAAGCAAGTGGAGACGTGCAGTTGAAGCCCTATGTTCCACTAGGAACCCAAGGGAACAATAATAATAATAATACAGGACCGGACTACATCGAATACTCCTAGCTTAGAAATAGGGAGTGAAATGGTAGTGCTCGTTGACCACTTCACCCTTATTTGGGGAATTGCATCAGGCAACGCCAGTGGATTGATCGTGGATGAAATTTCAGCTGTGTACGGATGCAGAAGGCCAGTTTCCCATAAGCCAGTTCACCCCATCTCTGGTTTAGTAGACGCGATATATGGCTGACTGGCTCTCGACCGAAGGGCGTGTTTATTGTTCCACAGGAGTCCACCACGTCCTCCTTTATAGAATATTTCATAAGATATTGGAAAAGGGTGTATAATTATGGGATTGGTATACAAAAGCTACGTAACATGGTGTGAAATTTGATAAGGTTGAACTGTATATTGTAAAATGATTTTGGATTTAGAATTTTTACAATATGGAATTCCATCTTATCAAACTTCACATCATTTCGTGTAACATCTTATTTTAGCCTACTGCCCCATATAATTAATTATACACCTCCTCCCCAACAACATATATACATCCTATGAATTATTTTATATATGACACTAATTGTTTTGCCATTTGTCACTTAACTACGGTTATAATCACAAATATTTTTGATCGCATTTCATACTACTACTGTGACAACAGAAGACAAGGGCTGGTAACACATCATTTTATTATGGAAATCAGCACGTATTTATATATATTTTATGTACGTTTATTAGAGCTTATTCAAGTAGACAAGCGCAGTGTTCTGATTGGTTGTTTCTGATTTCTCGGAAAGTGGAGCCATCTATCTGCAAATCATATTTGCCCACGTTTAAGTCTGCTGTGATTGGTTGCTGAATCAACCTTGTTCATATTTTCTCATGGCCAATATTATTGACCTAGCCATTGACGTAGATTAATGTCTACCAATTGGCTAGCAGCCTGCTCTCACCATACTACTACTATTATTATTTCGATTCAATTCCCCCACCGGATATAATTACTTAAAAATAACCAGTTGCCCAGTGATCTTTTTTTTCCTTCACGTTCCCAGTGGAACGTAGGGCCTCAAGCTAGTGGCTTGAAGTTTCTGTAGCAGTGTTTATTTTTACAGGATGGGGTTGTTAGCCTCATGCCCAACCTTTCCACTTTACTAGCATTATTTCTGGCTTAATGGGGAGGTAAAGGAGTGCGCCGGCCGGGGATCGAACCCCGGACCATGTGCATGGTCGGCGAGCGTCCAAACCGCCATGCCACCGACGCCCAGTGATCTGCAGAGGCCCAAACAACAAGATCTTTCACCTAACTACTTCTATAAGTATATATCAGTACACCTGTTGCTGCGGTGCCACCCACAGTACATCGGTCGTTCAACGCGCATATATGATTGTACTGCTTGATAATAAATTGGCTGTTGAAAAGAGTCTCTTTGCTGAATATATTGTTTTCTCACTGCTACCATGGAATTATTAGATTGTAGTTTTCCCAGGGAAAATAATTAGTGACGTCAAGACGTACTGTTTATGTTATAAATTCTTTTAGAGGCAAAATTGTCAGCATTCTTTATGAAAATATATTCTCTGGTAATCTCTTATATTCCATTTCTCCGACGTTTCTGAAAGACTATTATTATTATTAATTAGTCTACCGATTAAGTTTATCAAACTTTTGATGGCACACACTTTCGAGAAGTGGAAGACGTTATTCCATAAAAGTTGGTTAGTGTTAATTTTAAGTAGATACGTGTCATATACGCCAAAGGATATTCTACATACGGCCGACTGACGATATCATTTTAATGTCATTTCAAGCATATTAAAAGCGCGCGTTTCTTGATTTCTACATTTTGACTGAAGACAGTATTTCAATGAAACAACCGGCTTACAATGCATCCCATCAGCAGGATAGTTTACGTGTGTTTTCACAGCATTCATCTATCCTAGGATGTTTGTTGTCTAATGCTTTATCAACAAATTCGGTACATCTGTAGAGCTGTTTAGATTAATGACAACAGAACACCAACTGTGTTAAAACCTTTGTAAATGATTATCCATAAACGCTTTATTTCTTTTTAAATCTGGAACAACGGGTACCAAACTCTAAAATCTTCCTATACAACCATGATATATGTTGAAGACAAGAATTATCATTATTATTGCTTCCATCACTTACTAGAGAAACATAGGACTTATAGTCTCACGTCTCTATTGTGTGATTTCGAGGTTCTCCGCCAACACTTTCTCACCTACTCCGCGTCTGTCCACATTCTTTCATCTCCTCTCCACATCATCTCCCCCCCTCCTACATGTCACTTTCGCATTGATGACCAACTAACTCACCGCTTCCCTCCCATTCAGGCTCCACTCGACAGTGATGAGAGAGCCTGTTTTGTGACGCTATTCACTCGATCGTTTGTTTTCTCAGAGTATGGCCACAAGCTAATCCACCTGCATTTCTTCCTGCACAGTAGTACTTTAGGAAGGAATATTAAAGTATTTTTGTAGTTTGGTCTCCCCCTAACTTCCTTCAAGGTTCCGAAACGTGTCTAATTTTCTTAGTTTTGTTTATTTTGACGTTTTTACTGCTTTTTTGTGGAAACCCTACTTAATTAGTTCATAATGGAAGATATGTAGAATCTATCTGGAGAATGTTTCGTTGAAAATGGAGGTTTGATGTTGTGTGAAACTGTCGAACCTCTACTACTCAGGGCGTCCTTCCCGTATCTTGCACCGTCCACCACCTACTATCGTTCTCAGTCGTTATCGAGCCGGGGGGGGCGTACAATTAACTCCAAGGTGAAGTCAGCGCTACTAAACGGATCAGATACGGCTCTGTGCCACGTCACGAAAGGCACTTCAAGCAAACTGCATACCTTCATCAAGAGCTGTCTTCGCTCAAGGTCAGATTGCCGGCTAGAAAGGATCAGCAACACAGATTTCTGGCAATGAATGAACCCAACCCGGCAGGAACCACTTGTGCGACAAATGTGCAGAAAGAAATGCAGGTGGATTAGATTGTGGCCATACTCTGAGAAAACAAACGATCGAGTGAATAGCGTCACAAAACAGGCTCTCTCATCACTGTCGAGTGGAGCCTGAATGGGAGGGAAGCGGTGAGTTAGTTGGTCATCAATGCGAAAGTGACATGTAGGAGGGGGGGAGATGATGTGGAGAGGAGATGAAAGAATGTGGACAGACGCGGAGTAGGTGAGAAAGTGTTGGCGGAGAACCTCGAAATCACACAATAGAGACGTGAGACTATAAGTCCTATGTTTCTCTAGTAAGTGATGGAAGCAATAATAATGATAATTCTTGTCTTCAACATATATCATGGTTGTATAGGAAGATTTTAGAGTTTGGTACCCGTTGTTCCAGATTTAAAAAGAAATAAAGCGTTTATGGATAATCATTTACAAAGGTTTTAACACAGTTGGTGTTCTGTTGTCATTAATCTAAACAGCTCTACAGATGTACCGAATTTGTTGATAAAGCATTAGACAACAAACATCCTAGGATAGATGAATGCTGT